ATCTCTAACCCCTTTTGTCCCTTTAAAAAAAGGGCCCCTTGGATTAAAAAAGGGGCCCCTTTTTTGAAAGAAATTAAAAGACCTTTCCCGGTCTCCCTTCCTCAGCCCTATTTTACCCCCCAAATCCCCTTTTAAAAATCCCATCTCCCCTTTTTTTCCTTTTTCCCCCTTTCAAAAGACCCGGGTTTAGAAAAACCCCCCCCTCCCCGACCAAATCCCCCCATCCCCCCCCCACCCATCCCCCCCTTTTCCCCCCCTCCCCCCCCCCACCCCCCTTTTTCCCCTTCCTCTTTTTTGGCCTTTGGGTTTTTCCACAGGCGGCTAGTTCCTAGGTGGGGGAAAAAGGGGTCCCGGGGTCCCCCCTTTCGTTGAGGTTTTTGGCGGGGCGAGTTTGCAGGGATCTGCCCCCGGGGGATGTCACAATCCCTCTCTGGTATTCCGGAGCGGGCTTTTGGGTGCCCCTTTGGGGGCGACGGGGTGAAAACTCTGGAAGCCACCTTTGGGATTCCGGGGGTGGTGGCCGAAGGGGGTAGCTTTGTGGGGGATATCCGGCTCCCCTCTCTTTTGTCCCCCGGGGTAGCTCGGCAGATTGAGGTTGCTACCCAAAATTTGCTGGTTTTTCGGCATGATGGGTGGGGGAGGCAGGGGTTTCCAGGCATCTACGCTACTTCGGTGGGGGGCCCTTTTTGGGCACGGGGGAATTTTTGCCCTTTCATTCCTCCTAGGAACTATCTTCCCCGGTCCCCCCCCCCCTTTTTTTTTTTATTTTTTTTTTTTTTTTATTTTTTTTTTTTCTTTTTTTTTTTTTTTTTTTAAAAAACAAAAAAAAAAGGAAGAAACCCTAACCAGGGAAAACTAAATCCAGAACCGGGTCCCCCCGGGCCCCTTCTTGATACCGCCCCCCTTTTTACCCCCACCCTCTTTGAACCACTCTTCGGACACCCTCATGCCTCTTACCTTTCCCCGGTGCTGTTTTTTCGCCCGCTTCGGGTACTGGGGTCTCGACGACCCCCTTTTTTACTCCCTTTGCTCCCTTTGACATGTTTTCCGGGCCCCTCCCCTCTACGGTGCGGCAATTTTCAAATCGGGGCCTTCCCACGCCTAAAGCCAACGAAAATTACCTGCGATGATATTTCTCCCCCCTTTCTCTTTCTCTCAGAAAAAATCGCACGTCCTGCCCCCCCTTTCCCCCACGCTCAGTTTCAGACTGCAAAAGGGGACAATTCTTCATTTTTACGACCGACTTCCTCTCCCGCATATCTTTCCGCCACAGATTGGCAAGGCACTCCTACGCCATGTTGTAAAGATTTTCTTTTCTGCTCTTTAAGACGGTACCGCATCATCACTGTACAGAATGCTACCCAACCAGATCTTTCTTTCTTTCCCATAAATACTTTTTTCCTGTCACATTAAAAAAAACATCATTCCCTAAATTCTTGTAGGGTACCGTCATTCTGCCCCATAAAATGTTCAACAAAATTCCAACATGTGGCAATGACATTTTTGAACAGTGAAACCCAAGTTTTCCCCCAACCCTAAGGGAAAAACCCTTAGTTTTCCTGCCCGCGGGGGGAGACGTACCCTAGCAATGGGCTCTTTTAAAAATTTTTTGACGGGTGAACTCCCTCCTCATTTAAAGTAGCAGGACTCGGTTAAAAGTTCGAAAGGTGATCCCCTCACCGCAACAATGTAGAAATTGCTGGCGTTTGGCCCCATCCAGAAAATTGCAGTCTACCCCGAACCCCCCAGTCGGGTCCCAATACCATTCTAATACTCTTGCAATGACCCCCCCTCTTGCCTTAACCCTTTGAGGGTTTGGGACATCTATCGGCTTACGACCCCGGGGGTTTTTGACATACAGTACGCCTAAATTCTAGCGCCCTCAAATTTTAGTGGGGAAAAGCTGGTAGGCCTTCTATAAAGAATGGGTCTATGTGGTCGTGTGCCGCCCCCTAAAAAAACCTGCAGCACACAGTGCATAAGAGAAAAAAAAAACTTTGACCTTTTTTTTGGAAAAAAAAACAGCGACTTTGCACTGTTTTTTTGTAGGTATTTATTTTTGTATTCTAGTTTTTTTGGTCTCTTTTATGAAGGGAAACATTTAAGAAATTGAGATGATTTTCCCCTTTTTTTTTACAATAAAAGGTCCTTTAAAAATTGAGCTCAAGTAGCAGAAATTTCGTTTTTTCCAAATTTCAAAAGTAAAAAAATCGTCCCCAAGCGTGCAATACACTTCAACGGTATTTAAATATTCTTTCACAGTGCGCCAAAATTTTTTATACCATTTTTTCACAAATGCAGTATTTGCAAAACGAAAAATCTTATTTTTTTCTGAGAATAAAAAATTCAAAGGGGAAAGCAAAAGATTAAGAGGGCCTTGAGACGGAAAATGACCAGAGGTATGTCTTTTTAGTCCCCCGGAATTTTTTCTTTTTTATTTGGACCCTATTCTGAAATGGCATCTTTGAAATTTGTGTAAAAATTGGAAAAAAATTGCAAATTCGACCACGACCGGATAGTTGAATTTCATAAAGGGGTGTTTCTTGCCCCCATTCGATAGAAAAAAAGGAGTTCTAGCAAAAATTTCATGTTTTTGTCGATTTGTACAGGGGAAATTTGGGCCCCGAAAATGGGGCTCAAAGTGGGCAAAAATCGCCGACCCTAAACCCCCGAGACCGCTAATTTGCGAGAGCTAATTCCGAAAGTTTTCCTCAAATTTAAAAACTTTTGGTGTTTTTTGATGGGGAAAGATTTCTCTATCTTTTCATAAGAGAAATTTTTTTTTTTTTTTTTTAAATTTGGCCGCCCGGGCCCTGTCGACCCTCAAAGGTTTTAATTGTCATGAGGCTCACCCTTCGTACCTCCCCTTGTCAAGTCTACTTAAACACGGGAAATCCTTACCCAAAAAGGCAGAAGGCCCCCTTATGCCTGGGGAGTTTCTCATCTCCCCCCCCAAGGGGACTACCCGGTTTTTTATTCCCGTGTTTTAAAACGTCCCCCCCCTTCTGGTATCCATCTTCTGCACCCA